TTTTTTTTGTTAAAAAAAGTTAAAATAAAAAAAAAATAATAAAATAATAAAATAGTGCCGTATAATTATGATAAGTACTATATTAGCAAACTTATGGTTGTATTTCTGATTTTATAATGTATCCTTAATTCCCGGTCATACATACATACGTATCACATACACGTGCGATATTCTCCAAAAAAATATTGAGCTAATCTATTTCTTTACCCTCACTTATTTAGTTAACACACTTGAATGCACAAGCAAGCAGGTCCCCCAGCAGCCAGATGCCTATGTGCACATATGTATGTATATGTATGTTAGTTTGTAAAGATATTCGTAGTTATTATATGCTTATGTGAAAAAGGATATTAGAAATGATATGCATTGTAATCAAATTTCACGCTCTATCTGGTCCTCAACGAAAACTTGTAGATATATGTATGTATGTACACATCGACTCACTCAAACATACATAAGTATGTACATATGTATGTGGCTTTATTATCTATTTGGGTATTGTCTATTTTTGAATTGAAGTAAACTCCATTGTATTCCAAATACATACATACTTACACACTTTTCCATATCTAACTCTATAAGGGTGCCTCATCCAAAAAAGTCGCGGTTTTCCAATGGAATTATAAAACTTATTATATTTTAGGACTTTTGATAAAATATGTACATATTACGGAAGAATACTAAGATTTGAAAAGACCTCGAGTTTCTTATTAGTAAAATTAGTTTTTAAAAATATTTTTTCCAAAAATTCACCTCAGATGATACAAGAGCGTAAGCTTAAAAGGTCTACATAAAAATATTTTAACATTTTATCACCGATATCAAAATAATGAGATCTTTGGAGGCATTTTCGAAATATTTTGGCGGAAGTCTTAAAATATAATCAGGGCTGGCTTTAGGGCGCCAAATTGAGGAGGGGCGCAAAATTCTGGGATGGCGCGATTAATTTTTTTATTGCATAAAATTTCCGAATGCAAATTTTTTTCACATCGATGGGTGAAGTACTGACTTCAACTCGAAACTCTTGAAAACAACAACATAAATAACAATTATTTACAAAACAAAGGAGATCAAAAGCCGGGGTCCTCGAACTAAATGCGAGAGCACCATTTTTACCATGGGCATAGCATTCCTTGAAATTGGTGAAGGGCGTTGCTGATTCGAAGTTCTCACCTCTCTGGCTGTTTGGTATGACACCTATTCCAGGCCAATCTCATAAGTAAATCAATGCAGAGTACAACCATGGACATCGCTGCAATCAACCACTAAGTCGATAGGAAATTGCGCTGAATTTCTATCCAACTACAGAAATAACGGCTTCGAATTTGCTACAAGATGCTCATCTCGGAAAAGAAGAAAGATGTTCGACCACAAAAGTCAAGATGACTCTGCAATTTTCAAACCAGAAGGTCAGTTTAGAACTGATTTTTGGCTGCTGTCAAGGAAACGTTTGAGCAGTTGAAAAGTCATAAGAATCTGTGGGTGTTTCCTTCTTACTCACAATCGCAAGAATTCCCAGATTCAATCGAAGATGACACTTTTTTATTGACTCTTCAATTTCGTCAAGAAAAATGTCTGCGATGTATTTCCTAATAATTCAGTTTCTTTCAGGATATTTTTGACTTTGCCAGTGCCTATTGTCAGCAGTGATCGGACTTAACAAATTCTATGAGATAGAATCTGGAAAAAATTTGGTAAATTTCAAAAAAATGTGGTAGATCTACTATATCCCAAGAAAGATTAAAAGCTTTAGCTATCTTATCTATTGCAAACGAGATCGCTTCTCAGATTGACTTCTCCAAAACTAACGAAAAATTTGCTCAAGTCAAAGCACGCAAAGTAAACTTATTTTAATTGATACCTGGAAATTTTGATTATAGTAAAAATTGGAATATTTTTATTTCGACTAATTCTGCGATTTATTATTTTATAAGAAAAAGAAACCTAGTTAATAACCGTTATTATCAAAGGGCGCTTCGTTCCATTTACGTCCCGGGCATCATTGCTCCTAAAGCCGGCCCAGTTGGAAAACCAATACCGATTTTTGACATGTAAGCATATTAGCCCTCGGTAAGGGGAAAATTTGCGTTGACCCAGCAGAAAATTTGTAACTGTACATTCCGTGACTTGCTCAGAATCATTTCGAGACCATTTCGGGACCTGTTCAGGTCCATTTCGGCGCTAGATCACGACTATTTCTGGACCATTTTAGTCTAGTTCAGGGCTGTTTCAGGACCACTTTGGGATTATTTCCGGAACATTTCGGGGCTAGTTCGGTATAATTTTGGGATTATTTCTGGAACATTTCGGGGCTAGTTCGGTATCATTTTGGGACTAGTAACGGACCATTTCGGAACTGTTTTAAGACTTGTTCAAGATCATTTAGGGACGAGTTCACGACTTTTCAGAACCACTTCAGGATAATTAAAGGACTTGCACGGGATAATTTCAGGGTAGTTCGAAACTAGACACGAAATAATTCTGAAGTAACCCTGAACTATTCCCGAAGTGGTTATGAAAAAGTCGTGTAAACCGAATTTTTTTGTATGGATAGTGATGCACCCTAATGTATGTACCTACATAAACGAAATATATGTATATGTCCATATGTAAGCAGGGTTCTATGGCAATGCTGAGATTTCAAATGTCAATAAATTCGAACGAGCAATCGGGCCCTTTGGAGTTCCTTTGTTTTCTCCTACACACTTAGATTTGCTCTCGATTTTCATTCAACTCTCTTTCATCTATGCTGCAGTGGTGTATCCTTTTTCATGCATATGTTTCACACACTATTAGTTTCTGAAGTGTGTATGGCGTGTGTCCAGATTTAAATTGTCTTGTTTGCCAGTTATTTGAATCTTTTGTGTGTGTGTGTGTGCGACATAGGCGAGAAGAAACCAAAGAAAAAAACGGAAACATATAAATTATGTACAAGAACAAAAAGTAAACGATAAAATATGATGCATAAAAGATAAAGGATAATGCTTAAAGTGCATATATTATATGCCAACAAGAGGGCAGTTAAAGACAAGGCAGGAAACGGACAAGGACTAGGACAAAGAAATGTGTAAAAAAGTAGCGAAAAGCCAAACAAAGCTCCAAGCAACAGCGCTGCAAAGCAAAGCAAAATAACCGTAAACAAAGTAAAGGTTATTCTAGCAGCAGCCGCCACAAGGCATAGTGTCCTTTGCAGCGCTGAGACAAAGTAGACGACGCCTTTGCAAAATAACACCGCTTTGCGAGATTTAGTAAAACGGCCATTTTGTTGTGGCCATGCAAGAACCTTCACCTCTTCTTATCATGGCGTTCTCCACTCTATCTGTGTATGTACATATGTACATTAGGGTGGTCCTTAAATGTAGGAAGCAAATTTTTACATCAGATTTCCTAAGCCCCAACCCCGTCGATGCTACTATAGTCGAAGATATCACATATAAATTTTGGTCCCGGTTAAGGCGTGTCGCACAGGGGGCAAAGCTCATATTCCTGTATGGAAACTCAAAGAATTAAAATTTTTTTTTTTTCACCTAATACCCATAATCGATACTACCTTAGTCAAAGATATCACATATAAATTTTGGCCCCGATTAGAGTCGGTTAAGGCGTGCCGCACAGGGGTCAAACATCAGAATACCCTAGGAAACCGTGTTAACCGACTGCAATCGGGACCAAAATTTATATGTGGTATCTTCGACTTAAGTAGTATCGATTCAGGGTATTAAATGAAAAAAATATTTTTAATTTTTTGAGTCTCCATAGAGGCTTTTTTCTGCCTTTGACCCCTTTGCGACACGCCTTAACCGTCTCCAATCGGGACCAAAATGTATATGTGATATCTGTGATCGTTTTATTACTGACTGACGGGGTGAGACTGAAAAAAATCGCTCATTTGATTTTTTTAAGGACCACCCTAATGTACATATGTACATCATTTCAACGTAACCGGCTACAAAGAATTTGTGCATATCCTCTTTTTAGCATAATTTTCTAGCCACTTGCTTCACTCCACTTTAGCCGGTGGTTACCGTTATTTATTACGCCGCAAGATGTTGCACACTCGATGTATGTATAGTTGATTATTATTGTTTTAACGGTTCTCTTGTGTTAACTTAAAATTTGCATTTAAATGTTTTCGAACTTTGCAAAAGTTTTCGAGTCAAGTCAAACTTTACGCGGACTGTGAAAATCTGTTATTTTTTTTTTTTTTTTTTTTTATATTTTGTTTGCGCGGAAATGGCTTAAATTGCCACAACACGTTCATAATGTACAAAGCATACTTATCTAAGAGGAAGTTGATTTCGCATTCACTTTACTCACTAACTCCTCACTGATTGCGTGGCGCAGGTAGTGAGTGGCATGAATGAGGCCTTCAGAAGTTAGATTTTCACTTCTAAAATTGTGTTCCCAAGATTTCAGCGCGAAACAGCAACACAATAAATTAAGTTTGGATGGAAACAAAAAATACTGAGGCAAAAAGTTTAGCCATTTTCTTTGCGCTGACGTACAACTTAATTAGACTTAATTGCTTCTCCGATAGTACTCGCAAAGCGGCAACAATTACAATTAAAAGAGGAGATTAGCAACTGTAGCTCAGCGTTTTTGATTTTCTTGGTTTTTTTTTTTTTAAATAAAAAGGAAAATTTTGGCATCATTCTCGATTTATCGTTATCGTTATACTGCAGCTCATTACTGTCAGTAAACCTGTATTAATATTTATCACTATCACCATCATTGTTTGTAACCATAAGTTTATCGAAACAGCTTTCGGTGATATCGCATCATTCGGTATTTTCCAAAAATTAGCACTTTTAGTGGGCTTACCGTAGTCAATTTCGACACAAATCATTCTCGATTAATTTATCGATTGTTATCAATAACGTTATTGGTATGTCTAAGCAAA